TCGCTGCTTACGTTTTTACTTTTGTTTTGTTTCCTCTAGCTTCTCCTGTCCCCTTCTACCGATAAATTATCCTGAAGCGTTCGCTTGTGCTCCCTGTTTCAGGGCCATTTGATTCCCACTTCGCTTCATCTTTTGCCGTTTGTGATTCTACTACTTGGGAGTTTATAACTGGTCACTGTTTCTGCTCCTCTTTTATCCTATTTCTCATTCACCTCTCTTCTGTTTCAATTCCTGTCCATATATTACAGCTTTCTTTCACTTTTCCGCTCATGACAAATGCCTCCTGCGACGGCTAATTGCAGGGTCGCTTCATTTAACAGAAAATCAAATGAGGCCCGAGGTGGTTGCCCAGTATCAAAGTCACTTTCTACCCAGTCCTAATACAAGAATCGCTTTTCTAAGTAAAGTCGAGAGAAATTATTCCTGTGCGGTCTTCGCGACTCAATAGATTAGGAGTTAATTAAAAATCTCTTGGTCTAAAGCAGTGTTTCTTAGTTTCTTATCGGTTCGGCTGAAATTTGGATGTTGTTAACACTACTCCCTATCTCGCAAAATTTTAAAGTGGCAACATTTTGTTGGTTGTTATTCTAAAATGAAACGAGATCAATAGTTGAAAATTATTTAAGCTTGCATCAACAGATTTTCTTTTAACCTTCAATTTCAGTGCTGCTAATTTTATGCTTAGAACAGAACTCATAATTTCTGTGCAACGTCTGCACCACCTAAACAGTGACGCTGTGGGGAGTAATTGAGTACTGTATAAGAAGTCAGAACACGAAGAATAATGGGAACTGGATAAGCTTTACCATTTATCGTTCTGCTGCTTTTCAACAGAGGCTGGTTTTTCTGCAGGTATTTTGGAGCTGGCGTTGCACCAGTGCCTTTAAGTTTCCAGTAGCCTGTAACTTTAGAGTTATTTTGCTGCACATTTTTCTTCTTAGGAGTCACGTTTTTAGCCAATGTTCTATATATTTGGTACCTACTTGGCTTTACGGTACATCTCCCATTGGGAATTATTTCTTCCCACCTTCGTCACTTCCAGAGCAGTTATTTTGGCCACATTGAAATGTCTATTAGAAAAGACACGAAAAATGTATCTAGGCTCTGCATACCAGCACAGGACTGCCTGTTTGCCGCCCACTTGGAAAAACCCTGTGAAACTTTTAAATTAAATATTTGAATTTCACCATTCTCAAGTTTAAAAAAGGGTACTGGAACTCCGGACCGAACTATTTACTTTTTCTCTTTAATCGACAGTTGTTTTTTTTTTTGTTATACTATACTCATAAGTTCTGGAACTATTTATAATTTGAAAAAATAAAAAATTGGGAAATTTTTTTTAATTGAAAAAAATACTTCTTGCTTTACAGAACGAATGCATTACCGAACTTCAGAATCTCTGTAAGATCGGCAGTTACACTAGTGGAAGTTTGAAGTGGATGGATAACATTGTGTTTTAGTGCCATTCCAGTATCTGCATATCAGGTTATGTTAACTGAGACTTCGATATAAAAGAGGGTCTCAAAAAAAGCCTGCTGGAATAGTTACAGTATTTTGCAAATTGATGTAAGTGGTAAGGAATCTATAGCTGTATAATATACTCAATGAACGAGCGTGAGGCAGTATGCTTCTTCAGTCAGAAAGGGGAAGAGGAATTTGTAGAAGAATAAATTCGAGTGTAACACTGACTTTAAAAGGAGTGGGACAGTTGAAAGCGAACGGTGCGATAAAAGAGAGTCGCACTAAGTTAACTGCTGGAAGAGCAAAATCTCATAATTGTCTTTCTTTTTCAAAAACGAATATTGTCTGAAACTTCGAAAGACATTGAAATTTACAGTAACTGTAGATAACGAATGTTAGGAGAAAATGAAGAAACGCATTTAGAAGAAGAAGCGTGATTTGGATGAAATAGATAGTTTGAAAGCAATTTTGCGTGCTAAGTGTGATTAGTCTACTACAGTTTTCACTTGCTGTCGATGACTTTTTCACAATTGGTCGCTCACTGACGATTATATTTCAGCAGTTCTCAGCTAAAATTGTAGCTGTAGCTTAGTGGTTCCTAAAATGGAAAATATCGCTCTTGCCAAAATTCCTTTGTCAAATTGCTTATAAATTTTCAAGAAGAGACTAGATTCAAATTATCTTTACGTTCAGTGACTGGCTCAGCTATGGTTTTTCGTCGAACGGCACAGACGAGTCATTTCTATCATAAGTTTAAGGCTTCTAAGAATCAAGCAGGCGACAGAAAATGAGCTTTAAAACTACTGCCTAAAATAAATTCCGCAAGCAACTTTTATGCCTTTCGAAACATTCTTACATAGTTTTGATACGTCGTTTGTTTATAAGCAAAAGAAAATTAGTCTTAGAAGTGGTGAACCTGTTGCAATGAAAATAATTTTCTGTTATTTTACGACTTATTAAGTTCTAGTTTTTAAAAAGAAACACAGATTCTTCACACAGATTCTTCACTGGAGAAACATAAGCTGCCAGACTTCCACTTGAGATATATCTAGGAAGCGACATATATCTCACGGGCTTGTGCTCGTACAGTCGTGCTGTTATTTCTAACTGTTTGAAGAACGATAATGCTGTCTTTAAACGTTCTTGACAGCTAATCCTGCTCTTAAAATCGACTGTTAGACATTATTTCAGCTTTAGGTGAAGCAGCAATACAGTTATAAAAGGAAATAATTTTGCAAAGCCTTCCTCATTTTGGTATCTATGCGCAGTACCAATGTTTCATAGAATCGCCGGTAAAGGTTGTGTGCGATTGTGATGGCGCCACTTCGATGAAATTACAGATTGGGAGAATTCTTAAAAATTATACTTCCAGTAGTCACTGACGGAAAAATATCTAAATAATTGTGCTTCATAGAATTGCTAAATTATTATTTGCGAATAAATGTGAAAACAGCTACCGTGTTACCTCTACAACTTCACAGGCCCCTGAAAGCAAGCTAAACGCAGAAAATTTGTGTTGTGTTGCGTTAGAAAAATTTTTAGAATGCTAGATTTCTAAGTGGTAGACAAGCAGAAAAAGCTTTCTGCGCCAGAAGCAAGGTTTTGAGAAGTCTATTGTTACAAGCTGAAAAGAGGCTGTGTGTAATGATGTTAAGGATTCCAACTTTGGGGCGTGTAAACACTAGCGAAATATTGCTACGCGAAAGATGTAACCAAAGATGCAGAAGTTGAGGTGAAGTTAAATAACTTTTTATCTGATTGCTTAGGAAGGTCTTACCAGTGCATATAAAAAGAAAAGATGTTGAAATGCGACGATGGTAGACTCTTACCTTCATATACGGACCGTCTTAGACGGTGTAACGTTCAATCCTACGCAGATCCTTTTCAGAAACTTCATTGGACTTGGTTATTTTATGCGCTTATTTAAAACTCATCATAAAAGTTTTATTTTTATCTTGTTTTTTAAACTTTCAGATTGAAATGCGCATTTTGTGCCGTTAGAATTTACAAGTTTCAGAAAAATGT